AGAGAGAGAGAGAGAGAGAGAGAGAGAGAGAGAGAGAGAGAGAGAGAAGGGACTTATAGAATGACTTACAGGCTGTGGTCCAGCTAATCCAATAATGGCTGCCTCTGAAGGAAGGTCCAAGAATCCAGTAGTTCTCAGTCCATGAGGCTGGATGTCTCAACTGACCTAATGCTGGAATCCTGAAGATGAGGCTCTAATGCCAGTGAAGGAATGGACTTACTAACAAGGTGAGAGTAAGCGGGCAAGGAGCAGAAACTTCCTTCTTCCATGTCCTTATACAAGCTTACAGCAGAAGGTGTGGCCCAGATTAGATGTGGCTTTAAGATCTGCAGTAAAGGTTTGTCTTCCTACCTCAAAGATCCGCATTAGGAATAGATCTTCTTACTTCAAATTAAGCAGAAATTCCTCATAGGTATGCCATCTATTTTTAGTTAATTCCAGATGTAGTCAAGTTGACAACCAAGAAGAGCCATCACACCACCAAAACCAATAGTAAGCCACTAGAGTACCTCTCAATATGGCATCCACCATTATGCTGAGTCCACCCTATCGGCTAGGAAGAAATAGTTTGAATAGCTTATAAATTAGACTTTGGAAGAACTGCCAGGTGTGGGCTGCTTCCCACTGTGTTGCCTGTCTGTAAAAATGTGCTGTATAAATGCAGGCACAGGACTTGCTCTGTGAGAGAGCCACACTGCCAGGACCCCACCCAGCTCTGTGGTTCATCATCCCAGCCTGGCTCTTCTGTCAAATCTAAGACTGAAGCAATTATCCATCTTTGTCTGTCAGCAGTGTGCATTCTAGGCCCACCAGGGTTGGGTACCACACTTAACTGAGTACCTCTGTATGGGACTCTTGATTCATGGGCCAAGGAGTCTGTTGACTCACTAGGCTTTCTATCAAGACATAAGCCAAAGGGCTGAGCTGGCCAGGCAGGGACTCTCACAACTCTCAAGAATGTCTTGGTGGGGCTTTCCAAGCCCAAGCAGTTGGTCCCTAGTCTTCTTGAAAGATTGTCTCAAGAACAGTGAATGCTAGGAAATCAACAAAATCTGAGTCAGGAGAGGAAACTTGGCTTGAAAATTAGAAGGAGACCACTGACAGCCCTATTTCAAAGTAAATCTGGAATTAACACAACCCATGGAGAGGGAGGCTCACCCTAGTTTCTCCTCAAGTGTTCTTGTTGCCCAAGACTTTCAAAACATTCCTGAAGATAGTTCTCCAGGGTTCCTGGTATTTTCCGCTGGAATAACCTCTTCCCATCTCGCTGCCTCCATGGACCTGATATCTCCCACTCTACCTGCTCCTTAGGGTTTGGTGGCTTGCCTGTTGGCTTTCATTGTTGTTTTGGTTTTCTGAGACAATGTCTCACTATTTAGCCCAGGTATCTTTGAACTTACAATCCTTCTGCCTCAGCCTCTGGAGTGCCAGGATTGCAGCAGTGTTCTGAACATATCTAACCCAGTTACTGTGTCTTAGATTCAGGTTTATTGAGTAATAATTTGTATCCAGTGGAATTTATATCCTTTGATATTTTTAGATGAGTTCTGGCAAATCCATACAGCTGTGCAACCAGGAAAATTCAAGGTGATATCAGTGGCCTGGGAAGTTTTCCTTGCCAATTATATTTATAATTATATTCAGTCCTTAACCCCATCTCCAGTCCCTGGTAAGCACCTATCTGTTTTTGTCTGTATTTGACCTTTATCTATAGTAGTGTGTTAATCAATCCTGAGGCCCAAATGGGTCCCTTTGCACCTCACTTCTTTCATTTAACACAATACACTTGAGATTTGCTTCTCTGGCTTGTTCACTTATCTTCCTTGTTCTTTGCTCATTTGTTTTGACTGGCCCTAGAGACCTGCCTCCCATTCCCACCATGGGGAATGAATGAAAACAGCCCTGTCTGGGACTGGGGTACCACTAGCCAAGGCCACTTGTAGAGATCTGGGAAGCAGATGGAGAATTCCCCAGGAATCTAGAGAGCCTGGCTGTCACTTATCACTCTAGATGCCCCTTGGGAAGGGTACCATTAACCTAAAACCAGATCTCCTTGGACAGCCTGCGATTGTCAGGGTTTGACTGGGGAACAGCAGGACATGTTGAATGGGAATCTTTTGAAGGACATTAATTCTCAAAGGGGGGTTCACACCATGTCAAGCACTTCCATTTAGCATAGCATTCTTGAGGCCGGAAACAGGAATTAGGACATGGAGTGAGAGACCCTGAGCTTAGAAACCTGCAGCTGAACTGTGTTTCGCCCAGCAGTCCTGGGAGCTGGCTGTAAATCCCGCCCTCGCTGCTTGTTCTGGGTAATGTCTTAGCAGAGTGGATGTAAGACTTGGAACACTGTTTATTTTAGTCATTTAAACAGCTGTCAATCCTAATAATCATCATAGCCTTCGGTGAGTTCTTATATGGTCAGCAAAGGGGATTCCCAACAGCTCTGAGTCCTGAGATCAGGGCTTCCAAAGGCCCCAAGCACAGAGGCCCAGAGGGCAGCACAATGTCCTTCTAAGTTGCACTCCAAGCCAGCAATTCTCTTTGGGTCTTTCAATTTTTATTTCATGGTCTTGTTTGCAACTCAGAGTCTGGACCCAGTAGCAAACAATGAAAATATAGAAAGATTTCACTGAAGTACTTCAAATGTAAAAATTTGAATTTCTGACTCCACAACAATTTAAAAGAACATTCCCTAAAATGGAAGACTTGCTCCCAAATTGGTCCTACCAAATCCTAGGCACTTATTAAATATTTAACATCCAAGTCATCTTTTTATTTTTAAGTTGTGCATGAAAATTGCTTTTAAATAATAAATTCAGGCAAAAGGAAAAGGCCACCACTGGCTTCCAAACCTCTCAGGTGCTTGTCCAGCATTGTAGCAAACTAAAAGAGAGAAGGGGAGGGTCCACGCTGCAAAGGACAAAGGGCAGGCCCCTCCCACCTGCCAGGACCCCAGCATCTCAAAGGCAAAGGATCAGACCCCGCCTTCAGGCCCAGCAGGATTTCAATGGATTTATTCCGCTAACCCATAATGAGAAGATTTGGAGTGTTGTTTAAAATGGAAATTTTGTTTACTTATATATAAGTTATAATCCCTGTGGACTTGGCAGCCAGAACTCAATTAAGGGAAGGTTTATTAATTAGTCACCCTGCAGGGAAGCAGGAAACAGGGCTGTTAACCAACTGGGAGAGGCTTAGCCTGATGATGGATTCAGGGGCGATCTCTGCCGCAAGAACTAAATACACAGTGTGAATATGCTCAGAGTCTTAGACCCATCTATGCATTGTATGCACACAC